ATCGCCTTAGCGCCCTGAGGCAGATTTGCGCATTCCGTACCGTGTCGGAAGAGGCAGCGCTAGTGCTAGCTGGCACTCTGCCAATCGACATTCTGGCCGATGAGATGAGCCGCATCTACTAACGGCGTCGCGGCAACGATCTCTCCTCGCTAGCTATAAGAGGCGAGGAACGGATGGTCTCGCTAAGGATTTGGCAATCGAGGTGGGAAAGAACGACCAAAGGTAGGTGGACGTTCGTTCTTATCCCTAACATAAGACGTTGGGTCGACAGACGGCATGGAGAAGTAAACTATTACTTAACCCAGCTTCTGACTGGCCATGGCTGTTTCCGGAAATACCTACACAGATTCGGGCACGACAGTTCGCCTAACTGCCCGGTATGCGAGGATATAGAGGAGGACGCAGAACACGTAATGTCCAACTGCAGCAGGTTCGAGAATGGGCGGCCTCAATTGCCACCTAACGAGATAACAAGCGCAATGGTTGGCAGTGCAGCAGCCTGGAACGCCGTAGACTCATTCGCCAGCAATACGCTCGTGGAGTTGCGACGATTGGAGAGACAACGGGTGGAGAGCAGAGGGAGTGGAAGCCGATAGTGCATTCCACTGAGGTCCCACCATCAGGAGCGTGCTAGCGACAACCAGCCCCCGCGAAGTAATACCTAACGGTGGTCCCGCGGGGGAGAGTGGTAGACGAAGTGTGTGTGGGGGGTAGTTTTTAGTACGTATGCGCCAGGGATGGCGAATCGTGCATGCTGCCACTAAGACCCAGCAGTATCTTTCGAAGATTTTCTACCTCCAGCTCACAGAGCAAAACAAAAAAAAAAAAAAACACGGAGAGAGAGATACTGCCACACGTATAGACCATTTCTGTTGCATAAATTTCCTCTCTAAAGTGAACACTAAATAAAATTTATTATCTCTCTTGTTCCTGTTGTTTTTCCTGTTGACCATTTTTCGTGTTACACTTTATTGAAATCTAACGTAAAAATTATCTGAGAACCTTTGCTAACGTTTCATGTTTTATGATATGTACATAGTAAAGAGAAACTAATAAATGCGTACATATTCATATGCATACCGCTCATATTTTACTACCTTAATTGTAGTCAACGCCGACAGGGATTTGCTTGTTATAATTAGCATTCGTAATATAAACAGGCTTGCCTCTATGCAACGTGTAAAGATAAGCTTGTGTAAATTTGCTTTTATTTTAGCAAAAAAAAAAATCTCATCAAACAAACTCAGTTTGCCACTCTTTATATTAAGAAAATATATTTGGCAATTTGCTCAACGCTCTGCTTGACATTGTTTAACGTGTCTGCCTAAATTAGTGCGTGTATTAGTCTACATATTATTTTTATTATTACTATTGTGAATAGATTCAGAGTGCACTTCCAGCTGGATCTACGTATACAATTTAAAAATTATGCAGAATTTCTGGTGAACATATTTATATTTTTAAGCATGTTCTTCTTTTCTTGTCCCCCGTCTTCGCTTTTATATCTAGTGTATCAGCATCATGAAAAGAGGAGAAATCTGAATAACACACATACACAATTATATTTTTAGGATTTCGACTATCAATCAGCTCCATTATTGATTCAATTTTTTTACCATGCTTATCACTGAAGCCTCTGCCAGGGTTTGTTATTTATGTTAGAGCAAAAATCCAAAAATGTTTGTTGAAAAGAAACAGTTCCGCTCAGTTTACGCTCCTACGCAATGCGGGCTTCTGCTCTCATCAATTTGGCCCAGTTTAAATACCAACCTGCGTGCAGAAACTTCCAATGTTTCTATCAAACTTTACGATACAGACACACAGACGAACAGACATGGCGAAAAAACTCAGAATTTCACCTTGATCAAGTATATTTATACCTTGTAGTGTCTCCGAAGCTTCCTTTTGAGGGTTACATACATTATGGAAAAACACGAAATCAGTATACTCCGCTCTTACAGTGGCGGGTATAATTATGAGCCTCTTTAAAATTTTGTATATTAAGCGTAAATTGAACTAATGGGAAAACATATCTATGATGCAACATTTGACCCTCAAACTACAATCCAAGCACACAGTTAAACGATTGTTAAAGTAAATAGGAATTTCGAAGAAGATATAAACATATGCTAGTTTACGATTTCTAACTAAAGAAATATATAGAGTGAATGATAGTTATTTCCAGTTGAGACTGGATCAGCAAAAATTTTATATCTGAAGAAACGAAAGTTTTTTCGGGTTATGAACGGCTGCTGCTTGACATGAATGATTTTATAGTACATCTACTCGGGCCGACTTAATGCTTTTGTGAGTTTTTTAAGGTACAATATCATGTATACTTTACAATTTTATGAATATATTGTTACGAAAATCCTAAATTCAGTTAATGTCAGCTAAATAATTTTCGTAATAATAAATTCCCTAAGGAAGGAAAAATCAAGTGAGCATTCGCAGGCGCCTCATGCAGCTGCAGGCCGATGAAAACGATTAGCGGAAAAGCAGACAGGTAAAAGCTAAGTGCACATTCGCAGGCGCGTCATGCAGGTGCAGGCCGATGAAAATGATTGTAGGAAAAGCAGGCTGGGATTAGAAATAAAACCATAAATTTAGGTATAGAATTTGTGGCAAGGGTTTAACGTGGGTTCCTGCCTGTAAGGCTTAACCCCA